TTCAATTCAACTACCAGTAGATTTTAAAATTGTCACATAACCCACACCTCCCTATTACCTGCAGTGGCGCGCATTCAATGCAAAATCAACAGATTACCTGCGGGTAAACGGCCGGAAATTACGATACAATTGACAAAGCGACAAGGGTTTTTAATAACTCTGCCATGCTTATTGATAATACCCTTTTTCTTAAACAAATTTGAAGATTATACTGTTAGTGGAAATATTGTTTCAGTTCTCATAGATCATTTTCTCACTTTCGTGTTCTTAAATCAACTATTGAAACCACCAAACCTGGAAAAATGGCAATTTGTGACTTTTCATAATTCTCTCAGAAATGTTTTTGCTGGAATTGTCAGAATTCACATGGCAGTCATTACCATCTGCTGAGGATCCCTCTAAGTTATTTCCCACCTTTAATAACAAGCTAAATAAACTGATAAATACATGCACCATTTCAAAGCTAATGTTACAGCATGAAAGTAAACAGCTGGAAAAACCATGGATTACTAAGGGAATTAAAAAAGCAATTAAAACAAAAGATGAGTTTTTTTTCCTCCACTGATTGGGAAAGATATAAACTTTACAAAAATAAAGTGCGTCTATTATCTCTTATTTGTAAAAATAATTATTATCATAAATCTTTTTAGTTTCATTTGTTTTGGTTTTGGTTTTCTTTTTTTGCGTGTAATTTTATTCCAGTTGTAATATGTATTAACTAATTGGCTTAGTCGTTTCCTCTGTTCAGTCAAACTTGTTATTGAATAATTTTTTTTAACGTTTGTTTCCCTCCCGCCTTGGTTAGCTTTGGTATTTTGCAGGTAAAAATTGTTGGATATGTATTTTAATTGCTTAAGTAAATAAATTTTGTTTGTTGTTTTGTTTACTGTATCCAAAAACATTTTTGATAAAATATTGAAACATATGCAAGTTATTTTCCAAAATGTATTCTTGGTGTGAATTCTTTGGCCTGCCAAAGTGTTAATAGCCAATTATAACATGTCAACATAAATGACCCAGGAAGGGTTCTTTCGGCAAAATATCCAGATCCTTTCAATCCAATTGTGTAGACATCTCCTGATTTCATTTGCACTTGGAGATCTTTGCTATCTGCCTGCTTGTAAAACTAGTAAACTAGCATGTGAATGGAGAAAGATTAAAAATGTGGAGAATCCAGCAGTGAAAGTAAAACAGAAACCTGTCTGTCAGCACAAGAAGGGAAGAAAATTGATGCTGAATGGCTAGAGAATCTTGTCAAATTGGATAAAGGCTCATGGTTTAGGGAATCTTTGTTGCTCACACTCAATCAGCAGCCAGTTTTGCCGCAGCATGCTTAAGCCGCTTCTAAGTTTAAAAAAGAAATGAGTTGAAATCAAAATTGTAGTTCAGCAGAATTGAACTAAAGGTCTGTCACAGGGAACTGTTAGTTAGTTACCCCAAAAATATGAGTTTGCTGAGAGTCTCCTAAGACTCGGCAAGATGCTTCTGTGTTTCTATTGGCAGTCAGCATTTTGAGTCTTTACAGAGTGTTCACATAACTTGACATGTGGTCACCCAAAGGTGTGAATTGTTAGGAAAACTTTGGAAGCAAAAAAAAGACCTACTTCCTTTTTAGGTGAATGTGCTATATCTGAACATTTTAGTTTGGCATGTAAAATTAATGGATTGCCTTGAAATTTGGTCTGAAGACTCCCAAGTTACCAACTGAAAACACAATAAGGGGGACTTCCATTTTTCCAAAATGGATCTTCCACAATGGCCTCTGATGTGATGCAACCAATAAGAATATTGAAAGATCCCCACATGATTTTGAAGACCAGCCCCCTAAGGATTGAGGTTGTGCAAAAGTTTTATTTGTGTGGTCACATTTGATGTGCAGTTAATTTGCTCAAACAAACACTGTCACACCTCTTTCACTTTAGGATTAAATCAAGCAAAAAAAAATAGTGTATTTCATAACCTGTCAGCATTTCATAACCTTTCCATTGATATATAGTTTATGGTGGTTATACTTCAAAAAGCACATTAAAAGTATTTTTTGCAAAAGACACCCACGAAGGTCTATTGTATCCTTAATTTACAATTTTATGGAACTGTTTTGCTAGTTGTCCATAGAGTAAAGGTCAGAGTTAAGTGCTTGGTAACCACCCTATATCTGAAATATAATTGTGTGGACTCAACTTTTTTAACATGCACCAAGTCTTTAAGGGAGTACTGCCTTCAGCTGCAGAGCTGAATAACCACTGCGCATGTGCTAGACTTTGATGCAAAAAACAGATTTTGTGTCATTTGCATGTTTGATTTTCATTCTGTTACTTTGATGCGTTGTTTGCCTTGTGTTTAAGATGAGATGGTCTTCTTTGAACTTCAACTCTGAGCTTTCGTGAAAGGGTTCTTACAATCTCCTTCACAAATGTGTGAGCTCACCTGCTATTCTTTAACAGAACAACCTCTAAAAACTTTGTACACCCCCTAAATATTTTCAGAATTAATTTTCTCCAAGTAAAAACACTTGAAATAGGAAAATGCCTTGGTTTTAAATGGCTGCCCCTTTTTTTCTGCAAGTTTTCTTGAATTTTAAATCTTGCATGCTTGATTCTGGATTGTCGACCAAATACCTGTGATGTAGCATTTTGTTATTCAGCTCTGCTACCTTCAGCACAAAAGCCAACTTGTACATTAGAATGGTATTTAAATATGGGTTCGTATTGAGCAGTTATTTATTAGGTATACTCGAAGTGTCAGGTGGGTTCTTCTTGTGGCAATAATCTAGTGTCAACCAAGGCAAGCTTGCATCAACTGCATAAGATCCAAGAAACTGAATACTGTTTGATCGGACTTCACTTTCTTTAGAGGCATGCTGCTTTAAAAAGTCATTAGAAGGGAGTGCACTTTAGAAACTGATTGAACCCTGTTTCTACCAATCGCAGGAGTGGCAATTTTCAGTTACATAGGTTGTATAATATGGATGAATGGTATTAATTACTGACAAAACTGTCAACGGTGACACAATATATAAAATTGAACATGTCTTAAGTGATGATGGAGGCTTGTAAAATTAATATTGCTCCTAGTATGAAGGTGTTCCGAATAAATCATCGAATAGCCGCAAATAGTGAATGAGATGTCTTCATCTATTTCATAGAAATCTGATTATATAACCCCTGAATTTACTTGAGGATGAGTTTTCAAGAGAGTTTCAAGAGAAATGTACAAATTAAAAAGGGGTTCTGGATAAACAATCGTAATGAGGTAGAAAAAAAATTTGACATCATCAGAGACAAACAGTTGTTGGTGCGGGTTATAGGAATGTGCGGACAATACGCTAATTTTTAATGCTTCCGGTATAGTTGTAAAACTTTAAGTTGGATTTAACAGAGACGATAAGATTCACTGAAGATACTCTTCAAACAGTCTCTAAAATAACTCATTTATTTCGTGCAGATTGCTCATTATAATTAGTGACTTCTAAGCTCTCGATGAAAGCCGATGTAAATCGAAAACGTATCTACAAAACTCGATAGCAAAGCTTTTATCTTGTTTGTACTCTTACTTCCTTACCTTGTCAATTTCACTGCTTGTTTCTTGGTTTTTGAAAAAAATAATTCCCACTTACACGGGTAATGAACTTGAAAATTAAATAATTGAATTGTGAAAAAGCAGGCTTTTGAGCAATTCATACGGAAAATGATGCCGGCATGTTTCTTTCATGGCACCGGATAAGGAATGATGCAATAGTTCTTTATTCGACGCATCAGTGAAATATTCGTAGCTGGCGCTGTCTTGAGTTACAGAGTATTTCCCGTTTCAAGCGATTTCTTCGACTCACTAGATCTCAAGATATCGATTTTTTTTTTTGAGAACAGATTTTTACAAGTGGTATCATTCACAATAAAACATCGAAAACAAGAAATGTGAAAATTTATTCATTGCACGCTGAAGGATCTCATATCAACAAAAACAATAGAGGAACTTTGTGTGAGTCGACGATTTTGTTTTGTGGTTGGGTGCTGGTTATCTTCCGCGCGGGTAATCGGCCGGAAATTACAGTAACCGTTTCCTTTTAAATTCAATTAATTTCCTTTAGTGAAAACTATCTCTGAAGGAAAAGATTGCGGCAACCTATGTATCAGACTGAAAATTCCAATGTTTCAGCCTAGTCAAAATGTGAAAGAGTTAATTGAGAACTGCTGGGAAATCTTTGCGAAACGATGCATGGGAGGAAACTAAGACAACAGTTTTAGTTGTCAATGCTAAAATGTAAGTCATCCAAAAAATTTGAGCGGGAAGTACACGTCAGCAAGGTATTGAATGGGATTCAATTAAAGTGATTATGAGATTGTCAAGGGTCAAGTCTGTCATTTATATAAAAGTTAATTTTAACCATCTAGTTCCAAATTGCTTAAGTATACTGCTTGGTTAATTAATAAACGGGCTTACACTTATTAAATTTTTACTGGTATGTCGTATGTTTGTAGAAGTTTTAATCATGATTTGCCAAATCAAACGGCACTGACTATGGCATAGAATGATTCAATGTAATCACGGAGTGACATAGAAACGGAATGCTTAGGTTGATTTATAAGCCAAAATAAAATTGTTGTGATGAGTGTTTTTAACCCTAGACGGCGTAGTTTGATTTAACCTATCAGGGTTTTTAGACCATTTAAATAGGTTTGTTAATACCCGACTTGTCATGCAGAGAAATTCAATGTTTGGCCATGTTTAATCATGGTCAGTTTTAGTTAAAATCTTGGTTGACAATGAACTGTCATGCTTCAATTGAGTAACTTGACTGTAGTTGACCATGGTCTATCAC